TTTGTGTCTGTCTGCCTCTTTTACATCTGTGAATCGCTCTTCTATTCCCCACCCCTCGAATTTCCGCTACTTTGATGAACCTTCCCTCTGTGAAGTCCAAAGTCAGCTAAATGGCTAATGATATCTAGCAAAACGCCTGCCATTTGAAATAAATAAAAATAAATGTATCATATATCACTGATTAATATCATTTTTGTAAATCCATCTTGATTCTACTTCAATTTATTTATTCCTTGGAAAATTATTTCAAACAACAGCCAAAATACCCGACTTTGCACAAATTTTAACTTAAGTATATGCAGTGGACAATAAAATAGTGAGCTTAAAAAGCATTTAAATATACATTTATATTTATTTATTTATTAACAGTAGTTCACAACAAACAGCCATAAGTTACTGAAAAATTATTTATTCGTTCTAAATTTCATATAGACGAGTAACTGAAACCCAAGGCATCTCAATTGATTTTTTAAAAAAGTGCATTAGATAAGGTTAATGAAATGCACCAAATTAATTTCAAAGATGTGTAACCTAAATCTAAATTTTAATACAATTTGAGCTCATTCTGTTTTTTTTTTGCGTTTATTACATTAATGTGTGCAGTTTCCACAAAATTAGTCAGCCGTTGAAGATTTTATTTACTACAACTCCCAGAAACTAATATCAGATTGAATATAATTGAATATACATGAACTTATCAATTATTGACAAGTTTCTAAGGAAATTCAACTTAATGATTTTTTTTATTAATGAGACATGAGAAGTTTCATAATTGGAAGTGGGAAAGCAAGCATCCACAGTGGTGGGGGGTATTCAATTATTATTATTATTATTATTATTTTCTGGGTTTTTATCCCAATAATTAGCCAGGAGTACTACGTGGAACTGCAGGGTGGAAGCCTGCGCAACTGCAAATCGCGTGAATGCCCTGTTAATTCAATGTAAGAGGAGTTATGATTGAATGGTGGGGTGTGCGATAGACTTACCTCCACGTGGTGCACCCTGGGCAACGTATACTCATACGACAAAAAAGTCTATTAACCGGCAGTTGACTTCTGACTTCAAACTACCATCACCCCACTGTATGTTATATTCCCCCACTTTCACAGTACTCACCATACCTTCTTCTCTACTTTTGTGTCTGTCTGCCTCTTTTACATCTGTGAATCGCTCTTCTGTTCCCCACCCCTCGACTCTCTGTTGCTTTGATGAACGTTCCCTCTGTGAAGCCCGAAGTCAGCCAAATGGCTAACGATGGCTATCAAAACACCGGCCATTTGAAATAAATAAATTACTAAAAATGCATTCAATTTAAAAGGTAGTTTAGTTGTCACAATATGTGCGGAAAGTATAAAGGCGAAATTTATTTGAATTTTAGAAATTCGTGCTGACATTCAACGAAAAGTCCTCTTTTCGATAATATTTAAAAAAAAATATATATACTTGAAAGGGGTAAAAATACTCAATGATTATTTTTTTAACATTAGACTGTGGTTCTACTTTCTTTCATTATTTCTCATACTTTTTCCAATTATACGCCTCCTTTGTGACCTTCTACCAAAATCACTTTTAAAAGTCTTTCAAATTTCTACTTTTTTGAAAGGTTTTGATATAAGTGACATGGGTGCAGCAATTAGCCATTTTACTTGCGCAGTTCTTTTCCACCATTCCAACGGCTGTTTAGAACACTAATTTATTAAGGCTTCAAGAGTCCCCATTGACAAAACGTTATAATAATGGTTTGGTAAACGTTGGAAGAAGTTCACATTTTATCCAGAAAACACCATATTAAAGTTGGTAAAAACTGCAAGCAATCTTTCAAGTTAACATGGTTTCTCTTACCTACTTCTCACCAAAATAGAACTATGCTTTCCCTTAATAAATAAAAGAAGAGTTTAACTCAAACTATTTGCATTGAAAATCTGCTATTTGACACACCAGAAATATGGCTTTGTTAAAGCTTCGGCTTAATGCTGCACAAATGAAGGTGAGTATTTATTCTACTCTTAATTGACGCGAAACTTCACTTTATCTTTCTAGTTGATTAAAAGGTGAAGCAGACCTTTTTGATATGAGGAGCTGAGTTAATATTTAAAACGTATATATGTGTATAAAGCTAGTTCTTTCTTTACAAAAGATAACTCCGACAAGGCTGTCAAACAGATAGCTGGAGAAATAGCCAGGAATATTCCATTGAGATCAATGTCAGACGACAGAAATATGGGAGCAAATTTGGTAGTAGAAGCATAATGAGATTTTCTTAAAAATATTTCTGTCTTGAAATCGGTGTCCAAAATAGGATTATTTTAATTCCTGCCTCCGGCTAATAATAGAAAAGCTGCTGCCCATAGGGACACAAGACTAATTAATAAAACGAATTGGAGCGAGATTAAGCCAAGAATGGGGTGGGGTCCATAGCTTAAAGCCAGTGCTAGTCGCACCATCTTACTTGTATTTTCAAGGTCATAAAAATGTTTCTTCTATTAAAATTTTAAAGAACACTCCTTTTTGTTAGGGGAAACCATTCAGAGAGTTGGGGAAAAATGTCTGAAATACAATAGATAGAGTCTTAGAACATGTAGTGAAATGAGTCCAATGTGTATTCTCATGTTTAAAGTAATACAAATACTTACTTGCTGTAAATTTGTTCTTATTTTTTTACCACAAATTTCATATTTATATCTTTTGAACTAACTGGGTTCAAATACATTCGTGTTATTAAAGAATTTTAATGAGCTCTTAGGAGCATTCTATCACATCAAAGTGCAATGCTTCGTCTTTCGGATGTGCCATTTTCGAGTTATGAAAATTCATTCAAAGGATCATACAGTGGCTATCGAATTCAAAAAAGGTTTCCTTTTTAATACGATTAATTGGAACATTTCAAAATAAATGCTAATGAACGATCGAACGGCTTTGCTTATTAACCATCAACACTCAAATCACATAATCTAAAAAAATATCTCGAGAAATCGGCGATTACTTTTCCCAAAATATGTGAGCATGTCCTAGCATTGAATGAATGACCTTGAAAGCTGTGATAAGCTAATTCATATATATATATATATATATATATATATATATATATTCGCGTAACCCTAAGTTACCTGGGTGGAAATAATTTCCCACCATTAATTTGACTCGATATCTACCTTCTTTGCTAGTTCCCCAATCCTAACTGCGTAAATCGAGCAGCTTCGGCCTTTAATATTTCATGAAGCAGTAGTTATGAGTTTACTGACTCAGCTAAAATGCACATTAATAGTAGAACATTAAACTGGAGAAAAATAGCATTGCTGCAAATTTAATTACTTGAACAATTCTCTTTACAAATTTGCAAATTAAAATAAGCTAATATGTCATCATAAAGTTAGCAAATAATCGTTTTATTGGAAATGGAATTAACCAGTACTTATATCCAATACTGTTAAAAGGTTACAATTGAATATCCGAAGTAGAGGTTGAAGAATTCGAAGATCAATTCCACCCTCTTCCTGCGCTCAGTTTTATTCTTACTGCGTCTGCTCAGAGTATTATTATTATTATTATTATATCAATTGGCAGGCGTTTTGATGGTTATCACTAGCCCTTTAGTTGATTTGAGGCTTCAAAGAGGGAATGAACATCAAAGTGAAAAAAGTCAAGATGGTGGGGGGACAGAAGAGTGTTTTAAAGATGTAAAACAGACAGACACAATGGTAGAAAAAAGGTGAGGTGAGTACTATGGACAGACACAAAGGTAGAGAAAAAGGTAAGGTGAGTACAGCACAGACACAAAGGTAGAAAAAAGGTGAGGTGAGTACTGTGTACAGACACAAAGGTAGAGAAAAAGGTAAGATGAGTACTGTGTAAGACACAAAGGTAGATGAAAGGTGAGGTGAGTACTGTGAAGTGGGAAAAGAAGAGTGTTTTAAAGATGTAAAACAGACAGACACAATGGTAGAAAAAAGGTGAGGTGAGTACTGTGAAAGGAGTCGAATATGGCATACAGTGGGGTGATGGTAGTTTAAAGTCAGAAGTCAACTGCCAGTTTATAGACTTTTTGCCGGATGAGAATACGTTGCCCAGGGTTCACCACATGGAGGTAAGTCTATCGCACACCCCCTGCTCAGAATATTCATATCATTTCTCTTTACCTATTGGATAGGTTCTTTTTCATTGCCGTACAATAAACCATGATTGTCCTCTTACGATAATGCATTTTTACTTAGCCCAAGAGTTTATAAGTAGATTAAGAAAATTGGCTCTCAGATAGTTGCTTAAACTTTGGATATATTCCTATTGTATTTCAGTATTTCAAGTCATTGCATAAAAAATTCCATTTCACTGCTCCTGTTCCCTACTAGGAGAGTGATTATCGATTACTTTCTTATGAAGGTCTTCATAAGTTAAAATGAACAAGAAAGCCTCTAGTAGTACGATACCAAATACTCATTTACAGAAGTACTGAAAGACCATTACCGTAATACATGACAGAGTCTATGAAAGAACTCTCTTACAGAACTCATAGTCACTATTTCTATTACTTGATGTCTTTAGTGCAATAAATTCGCAGGATAATCGTATGCCTTCAATTATATGCTAGCTTTTAACATTCCATTGTATGAAATGTGCTGTTAAACTAACAGACTGCATACGAAAATACTAGGCTCGGTAATCTAAATGTGTGCAACATAAATCGGCACATGTCATGTTCTCATGTGCTATAGATATTTCTTCAATTCAAAAGCGCAATGAAAATCCCGCCAATTTCCAATGGTGTATTACTGTCTACTGACGAAACGTACCCTAAATCGGTATGGTGTGATAATAACGCGAGACTGCATTTCTCAGACAATGTGATTTCTTGATCACGTTTGATTGACAGTGCTAAGTGCTACCTTTATTAAAGAATTTCAATTTCATATTTCCTAAAAATATTTATTATTAATGGAAATAAATTTACAATTTACCACACATTATGGTCCATTCAAACTGTCATTTAGAGATAATTTTTTGGATCGCCCACTACCACATCCAGTGCTTGAGCAATAGAGCGAATCAACAGCCTGTCAAAATTTACTACTGCAAATGCTGTTTATTGAATCATCAATTTTTCTAACAAAATAAAAATTAGTCTTATTTGCATGTTTTCCCTATTTAAAATGTTGAGATACTAACCGCACGTCTGACTCCGTACCACAGACACATCTATCTGCAATTCCCCTCTCATCTTTCGGCACGCAGCAAGCAACACAAGCAGACAGTCGTCTAGACTTGCAATTCCCCTCTTCCAGGTCCAGACGTGGTGAGGACACGTCACAACAAACAGACATCCACTTACTACACAGGAAAACACTACCACTTACTCGGCCGCGGTGTTGTATTAGAACTTTTGAGATTAATGATTTTGTTCTCCTCTAGACGACTATTCCTGGTCATGGCTATTTGGGTTAGCCTCCAGGAGTTCCCAAAAACACTACCAATTACTCAGTAAACATCCTGCATAACGATGTTTAAATACTTCCTCCACTCTCGATCACTTCCATGGATTTGAATTACTTCAAACAACTTAGTGGATTTCTGCGTTTATGAAGTTGGGGATCGAGCAAAAGCTTTAATGCTTTGTGAACTTTTAAACAAGGATCAGTTAGTAACAACAGCAAATCTGCGCACATAATTCAATGGGTATTTAAAATGCAGAGAGAGAGAAGTGTCCATGCTGGAATTGTTGACACTGTTGAAACCATTTTCCCTTCTTTTCAATAGTTTATGTAGGGCTAAAACATAACAGAGTGGAGATCATTAAGTAAATATTTTTTTCAAAAAAAAACAACGACTTAGAAGGACTATTTGCTTGGTCTTTTGCAGACAACAACATAATACTTTTCCCAGACAAGTCCAAAACAAATCCGCATAATCTGATACGATCGACTGATTTTTGACTTCAGATTCGCGTAGCAAACTGTCTGCTTAGGTGGTAAATATACACCGGGGTGCAATTCGTTTATTGCAAGTTGGAAATCAGTGGTAGACAAATAGCGATTAACCGAAATGATCTTTTATAACACATTTTAATGTTCGAAATAGTGGTCTACGGAAAATGTCCGTGAACTCCAATATCTACAAGAAATGACCCAGTACATGATAGTGATTTTCTTTCGGAATGGACCAGAAATTCCCCGTTTCTCAACTATAGCTCTTCTCAAAGTTTTTGCATGATTTGTCTGTCTTCACACGAAGTTAGGAAGGAGAAAAAATATATATATGCAAACTTTTTTTAGTGGAGCATTTTCTAGCAGAGCTAAACGTAAGGGATCTTAAGGAAAATCCCATATGAATTGATTTGCCATTAATAGAGGGGAAAAACGGCCTAAAATACGATTTATTCGTTAACCAAAAATAAATATCACTTAGCATAGCCTTCCGATTCCTTATCTAATTGAGAAAAATGATGACTAATCATATCTCCCCATATTTGTTCTCCCCGAGAGTCCAAAATTTGTTTCACACCAAGAACAGATAATAACCAGATTGCGTGTTTCAAGTTCCCTCCCAGAAGTGCACTGCATTCTTTGTCGAATGTTTTAGGTTTAAATACCTTCGACTAAATTATTGTTAAATTTGGCGACACCAATTGGCATTTCACTAAGGTTTTTTCTTTCCAAATATTTTCCAATAAAAAAATTAAAATATCAATTTTTTTATAAATTAATTTCATAGAAGTGCTTTCTTTAATTAAAGAGGAAAAAAAATTGCGTCTGTTCAACATGGAGGACTGGAAAAGAAATGCTCGGTAAATTGACAAGTTAACATTTTGGGCTGTGCATTATTTAGAAAATAAAATAAGTTTTTTTCCTTCAAAATTTGATTTCAAAATGGCATTCAATGGAAAATTTCTTTCAAATTGTGTAAGTGGTTTTAAAATGACAAACATCACATTTTTGCAATAAACTGCATTTTGCTTTAGAATTGAGACTTAACAGGAAGATATAACTCCGGAAATATAACTCATCCAACGATATCTAATCACGTAATATTGGGGATGAATTTTGTCAAATTACCCGTGTTCAAACCATATAAAAAATGCAAAAACTTTATCTTATCGATTATTTAGGCAATGCACCTTTTAGACCCAGGCGAATGAAACTGTTAAAAAAAGTAAATTTCACAGGTTTGCGATTGTTTTCATCTTCTTGATTACCTCGCTTTCTATTTGACAACTTACTTGACTAATTCTCAGTCTTAATCCGTCTCAATTTCACTTGAATTCCTTATGCTAAAGCTTACTTAATTTTCCCTATGTTACGCGATAGGCGCTGTTTTCATGGAGACTGATAAGACGCTAGAATATTTTGTTTGCTTTAAAAATTCCTCCCTTGCGAGTGTTAAACGCGAAACAGAGTGGCTTTTAGCTTCCGGAAAAAGTGAACTTTTTTGTCTGGCGAATCCTCCTAATGGACAAATGATTTTTTAACACGATGACTACAGGACTGCGGTTTTCTCACATGGAGGCTTATTTTGCGGGCATTATTCAAAATTTTACGACACAATGTATCACTTTTTAGGCAAACGTTATGACTCAGGGCTTTCTAGTGATCGGATACATTCAGTGAAATATTAAGTTCACCGCTATTGAAGCATCCATTTAAAATTTAGGTGAGGTTATAAATTTCGAGAAATCACGTGTAAAATCAATATCTGTATACACGATTTATTATACTAGATATTTGTTTGGGAAAGTGTTGATTTAGAGTACTTTATATGATTGGTGAGCGTATCAATTCTCAAAAGAAGATCGTTTTTTGAATTCACAAGCAATTTAGAGGCCTGCGGTACCTGAAAAAATGTCTCACTCCCAAACCTGAGACTAAGTGGCATATAAATGAGAAAGAAATGATAGAATAGTCCGGTTTATCAAGTGCTACAGATAATATTGCAATTAGCCTAAAGTTATCTTCCAATGTTACTAAGGTATTGAGTGATTAGCGTTCACATTGAGTGATTTTCTCATATGCTTGTGAATTAAGAACTATTTCATGAATGTTGACGAGGAAAATGAAAACCTTCATGTGAAGTTCATTAGTTAATATAAGCATATTTACGGAATTTACGTGCTAATATATAAAAAAATTCTAAGGGGCCAGAGAAACCCATTGTTAATTTTTTTCTAGCATTTCGATATTTCCTTAACAAGAATTGATTATTTTCCCGATTAAATTTCAATGTTCTTTTATTTACTCATACATTTTTCATTAACTTGGTTGTCAATTTCTTTCCAGCAAATACACTGAAACCATCAAACTGGGGGAAGTTATCGCAATAGCCTGCGACAATCCGATTCATTTCTCACTGTGACACATTGTGCGAATTTTTCCCTCTTCAATGTTTTTTTTTAATAATTTGCATTGGGTACAGTCCCCCTAACGGTCGACGTCCTGACAACAGAGAAGTTGTTGACATTTTCGATTTTTTTCACATGCAACAACTACACAATTCTTTCAATAACTAATAAAATTTCATTTAAGAATAATATTTTTATTGGCACACTTTTTCTAACCCTCGGTTCTCTGAAATGGATGTAAAATCAATACTACTAATAATTATATTAAGCATTATTTATTTATATCAAATGGCAGGCGTTTTGATAGTTATCATTAGCCCTTTAGTTGACTTCAGGCTTCACAGAGGAGAAGGAACATCAAAGTGAAACAAGTCGAGAGGGAGAGAGGGAACAGAAGAGAGTTTCAAAGACGTAAAAGAGACAGACACAAAAGTAGAAAAAGGCGAGGTGAGTACTGTGGAAGTGGTGAAATATGACATACAATGGGGTGGGGGTAGTTTGAAGTGAGAAGTCAACTGCCGGTTAATAGACTTTTTTGCCGTATGAGTATACGTTGCCCAGAGTGCACCACGTGGAGGTAAGTCTATCGCACACCCCATTATGTTAAGCATAAAGATACTTTTGTAACTCTGGGTGCACGTCTTGAAATTTTAAAACTGCCTGCTTCCTGCGCAAAAATCTACTCTTTGCCTAATCTCTTTCACTAAAGCTTTGCAGCAT